TTAACTCTTGAGAGTGTTTCTGGTTTCCTAGGATAACGGCGGGGTATTTTTGATCCCAAAATATAATGGAGGGTATAATTGATCTATTTCGTATAGTTTAGGAGCAATTTTGACTCTTTTCCATAAATATAATGTCATAAATTTTTGACAAAAAATAATCTATCAAGTCTAACTTTAAAAAAAAAAAGAAAACTTGCAATGTAAGATATTAAATCAATACTCTTACGACAAATGAAATAAAAAATATAACATGAACAAGTAAAATTGATAGGAGTGAACATTTACCATATTACCCTATATTTTGGTGTGGGGCGCGATGGAAAGCAGTGAGTTGCGCTCACGTACAAGTTTTTGCCATGCAAACCTTATTGCGCCTTTTCCCGATTTCTCAAACAGAAAATAAAGAGGGAAGAAAGGAAAAATTATCTTCCATTTTTTTTAATCATTTTTTTTCTTTCCCTCTGAAAATTATTCACAATTTTTACATTAATTATTTTTATATATTTTTCCTTTCTAATTTTGTATAGATTGACGTAACAATGGGTGAAGGAGCCTCATCTTCTTCAAAGAAATCCAGGAAACCAGATTGTATATTCTTTTTTTTTTAATCTTTGTGTTTTAAAGATTCAATTTTTATTGGTAGAAAAACAAGAACAGGGTAAATAAATATGCTCCTTTGTTGGAATAGAGATCTGGGTTATTTATAAAATTCAATTTAGGGATCTTATATATGGGGTATTTACATTGTTTTATTAATTGAACCCTACATTAGTGCAAAATAGTACATTTCTTTTGATATTTCGGTGAAATCAACATACTTGTGAAACTCTGGGGTTTTGTTTTGTATACTGGATTATGATCTTGTCTGAATTCGTGTTGTTAATAACGGGTTCATTGTATCTTTGATGATTCTGTTACTAATTCAACACGTTGGAAGTTGAAAAGTATATAAGATGTAAGGTTCATGCCCAAAGCGGACAATATCACACCATGTAATCTAAGAGTATGGTGGGGCTACTTTGCCGCAACAGATTCATCATAGCCATGATGCTACTTTCAATTCTTGTTGAACTTAACTACAAGTCATTTCATGACCTTTCTACTTTTGTTGCTATTTGAGTGATGTTTATCTGTATATGCCTGCTTAAAAGTCTTAGATTTCACTGTCTTTTTAAAAGAATTTAGATGGCATATTCTTGTGTTGTAGATTCGAGGTTTACCCAACAAGAGCTGCCCGCTTGCAAGCCAATTTTAACTCCACAATGGGTATGCATGCATTCACAGAATCATTTGCATAACTTCTTTAAGTCTTTACTGTATTGTCTTGTTGAATATATTTCTCATTTTATGCATTCAGGTTGTAACGGTGTTTATCTTCCTTGGCATCGTCTTCATTCCTATAGGCCTTGCCTCATTGTCTGCATCAGAAAAAGTACTCAAATATCCATCTCTTTATGGTTTTTGGGAGTTTGTTTTTAGCCGTCAAATGGTATTTGACATGAAATATCTTTCGTTTTTATGCAGGTAGTGGAAATTGTACATCGATATGATGAGCAGTGCGTTCCTACAAATTATACACAATCAGACCTTGCATATCATGATAGGATTGCATTTATCAAAAATAATAAGTCAAACAAGACCTGCATAGTGACCTTGACAGTTAGTTCCGTGTTTCAAATACATTGTTTTTTTCGTTTCTTTGTTCCAAAATTTTAACATTGCGTTGCCTAATCCTTGCAAATTCATTTGCTGAATGTTTTTAGGTTCCTAAGAAAATGAAGCATCCTATCTATGTTTATTATCAGCTGGATAACTTCTACCAGAATCATCGTCGGTATGTCCAAGATTTTGTTTGATTCAAGTTAAAGCTCTGTTATATATTATGAGTATAGAAATGAACAGATGTTTTAAACTCATAAAAGACTATTTGTGTGTGTAATTGAAGAGAATAACTCTTCTGATGCAATTGAAGTACTCCCTCCGTTTAAAAAAGAGTGATCTCTTTTCCTTTTTAATCTGTTTAAAAAAGAATGACTCTTTCTTATTTTGGTAACGTTTTAATTTCAGCTTTCTACGTGGCATGTTTAAGGCCACAAGATCAAAGGACAATTTTGTACATTTGACCTAACTTTAATTTAGGACAACAAGATTCAAAAGTCTTCTTTATATTTTTAAACTCCGTGCCAAGTCAAACCCAGGTCCATTCTTTGTAAAACGGAGAGAGTATGTTCTCTCGTCTAAGTTGTGTATGTTCTCTCGTCTAAGTTGTGTTATTATGTTGTTCCAGATGACTGTTCCCTTCACTCTCTAGAAGCACAAACAAAAAGACTAAAGAGACAAAAAGAAATGCACAGAGTGAGCTTTTACTAGACTTAGATACATTGTGATTTAAGCTAGGAAGATTTATTGGTATACCAGTTGTTGGGGCGCTGGCTTCTTCTGCTGTATTTATTCATTAATAAGCGTAAAACTTAAGTATAAAAATAAGAACATGCATAAAGTTGAATTTATCGATAAAAATGAAATGGGAAAAGTAACAAATCAAGAAGTTAAAGATGACATCTTTTTTGTAAAATTAAGGAAGTTATGGATAAGTCATTAAATATGTAACTAACGGAAGGATTAAAACTTTTAAGTCATTATTGAGGAGAATTTAGATCTTTAGCAATGGCAAATTTTGTTAGGCGTGCTGATATACACACTCTTTCTTAATATGTTGATGTATAATAATAGAGTTGAAAATAAATTGATATGCGGATAACAGGAACTGGATGAAGTTTATCAGCTTTAATTTTGTCCAGTTCCGAGTTTTTGTTTCTGCCTATGAATTATTTTTAGTAGTACATGCTCAGGAAGGAATAAATTTTCTATTTTGAAGTCCTCGCCTGGTCAAGGAGGCACCGGGACAATTATGTTAATGTAGAAATTCCGTTCCTAGTCTCAGAATTCTGAAATTTAGTGAGACAGATCTGGCCTGACTGTGAAAGAGATCGTGCAAGTTGCCTGTTTTTCCTTTTCTTACTCTGTAGTATTTTATAAGAGATTGACTCTTGCATCGAGAGTGGACATGCTTGAAGGAGAATCACTTCATTTTTTCCCGGTAAATGATACTCACTTAAATGGTATTGAAATCTTCCTATGTTTTCACAGATATGTAAAAAGCAGAAACGATGAGCAATTGCGCAACCCAAATTTTAAGGGCGACTTAAAAAAGACTTGTGCTCCTGAAGACATGAACGGAAATGAACCTGTGATTCCCTGTGGGCTTATCGCTTGGAGTTTGTTCAATGATACATATGGTTTTTCAATTAAGAACAAAGGTTTACCAATCAATAGGAAGAACATTTCATGGCCAAGTGATAAAAAGCATAAATTTGGATCAAAAGTTTTCCCTAAAAATTTTCAGAAAGGAAGTTTAATTGGGGGTGGATCACTTAACGAGAGCATACCTGTTAGTGCAGACTATTGCCCTCTTTTTCATCTTATTATCATTATTCCTTTCCCACATTTTTATTGTTATCTTAACTATTTTGGGTATTTTACATGCAGATGAGTGAGCAAGAGGATCTTCAGGTTTGGTTGAGAACTGCGGCATTACCAGTATTCAGAAAGTTATATGGGAAGATAGAGCATGATCTTGAAGCTAATGAGATCATTACAGTAGTAATACAAAACAATTACAACACATATACATCTGAGGGTAAAAAGTCTTTGGTTCTTTCAACCACTACATGGATTGGTGGAAAGAATAAGTTCCTAGGCATTGCATACTTGACCGTGGGTGGGATTTGCTTATTCGTGGCAATAATTTTCATACTTATGTATGTCATCAAACCAAGGTAAAAGCGCACCCAATACTGTCTTCCCGTTTTGATTCCTTAATCGTATTATATTTATATCTGCAGCAAATCTTTTTTTCTTTACTAGTTAAGAAAACCAAAGTTGACTGCTAGGTATAGATTTGCTGGATTACATGCTTATAGTTTCAATTGTTTGAAGTGCTATAAAAGAATAAAAGAACTCTATGTTGCATTTAAGAATCGAGACGAGCTCATGAAGGGTTAAAACTTTCTGTAAATCTCATTTTCATCATGTCTTGATAATCATTTATCGCACCAGGAGCATGCGTGACAAGATAATAGCTAAATTCCTTTTCATATGGCCAATTTGTTTTGGAAATACTTAGTTAATAAAAGCAAGATAATCTGTTTTTGTTTGAAGATATCAACAGAAAATGAAATGATCATGTGAAGTAGGAGGCTGTTATTTTCAGTTTATGAACTTATTTGGAATTCGACCATCATACCATTGATGTTCATTGTGACTGTGCAGGCCATTCGGTGATCCAGCCTATCTGTCTTGGAACTTGAATCCTTCAGGGAACTGATGATGTCTGCATTATCATCCGTCATGCTCTTCTCTCCAAATTTTTCCTGCAGAAGAGTTTTAATTAGCTGGTTTAGTTGTTTAACACTAACTATATTCGATACTTGCAAGTCCTGGACCAGTGACAGCATCTTGTGATTTAGGCATTCAACTCTATTGTCATTTCACTATACATATCATGTTAACCATCAAAACCTCTGCCTTGCAGCTTTATTTCTTTGATTAAATCATTTATTGTGGTGAGATAATCTTTCTAGACCACTGTATACTTTTTTTTTTTATATATGTACTGATCAGAATAGGACTGAACACTGAAATTCATTGTTATATTTGAGCAGACTACACCTGTTTTAATTAGAAAAAAGATACCTTGTGATTACACTCTGAATCATTAGGCTGAGCAAATATGCCGTAAAATTTAGAAAATAGATGTTCATATCAAATTGTGAATTGAAGCACAAAAATATCAGTATATTGTTTTTGTATTGCTTAGGATCCAACTCTTTAAAATGTGTTAAAAGTTAAAACGACATATATAGACAACAAATGTAATACATTAACTAATTGAAAAGCTCCACTCGAGTCCTAAAGTACTATGCTCATTTCGCAATGAATTAAAAAAAATAAAATACCAAAACTCTGTATAATTAGAGTATTGAAAAAAGAACAAATACAATCTATATCAAGAGCTTACATCAGCTGTGTCAATTTTGAGGGGGCTTAATTAAGTTAAGCTTTCCCTTAATTAATAACAATTAATTGTGGTTAGCATTACAACAAGTTAATCTATATAGCAAACAAAAGCAAATTAAAGAAGAAAAAATGTAAAGATTTCTTGATTGGTTCTTCTTGTCTTGTTTCTTTAAGCATTCTCCAAAATAGTCCAAAATGTATGTAAAGGTGCAATCAATTCTACCAAAGTGTTGACTCTCATAACTACTCTTGATAGAGTTTTCCTTGAAAATGCCATAAATGTGTCTAGAAATGTTGCACTTTTTGTTATTTTCCTTATAGGAAAATCATGCATTGTGACCATGTCTCTATGGATTGTGACTGTTTTTGAAGGTGCCACTTGATGATAAAATGTATTGGCTACTTGTCTTGTAGCTATAAACATTCCTTGGTTCACTTCTATTTTCTCATAAACTTCAAAGCTTGGTGAACTTGAAAAACCATCAGTCTCTTCATCATCCAAGAAGTTGTCATCATTACCAAATCCTAATGAGAAATTGTTTGCTTCTGTTTCATTCATGTTGTTTTGCTGACCACTTGCTTCTCCTGAAATTAGCAAATATTTATCAACATAAAAAAAAAAAAACAAGAAAAGAGTTACTACCTAGCTCCGTCCGATGTTGTTTGACTTGCTACAAAATTTACGACAAACTTTTTAGAATAACTATACTCCCTCCGTCCACTATAAACTGTCATACTTTCCATATTTAGAGTCAAACTAAAAAGACTTTGATTAACATTTTACGATATATTTTTTCATTATATTGATATGCATTGCAATGTAACTCTTCTTAAGTATAGTTTTTGAATATCTAAATTTTTATTTTAAATATCGAATTAATGTAATCTATTTAAATTTGAAAATTCATCAAATTAACTTTCGAAAAATGCAACATGACAAATAAAAATTGACAAAAAGAGTAAAAAATGTGAGAATAGGAAACACTTGTGCAAGTATATATTCTGAAAATACCTTGGAGTTGATCTTGTTCCTCTTTATGGGGACCTGAAATATTTTCTATTGGGACAGTCTTGTAGTCCTCAAGAAAGGCCTGTCAAGTACAACATAAAGCAAATTATATACTTATCTATGCATATTGGATTTCAAGAAATAATGCAAAATAAGAATAATACTTTTGTATCCTAGGTGACATATTTTTCTTTTTTAATTTTTTTCAAAAAAAATGGTCCTATTTTTATAATTAAACACAATTAAAATGATTTACAAACACATTAATAATTAAAAAAAGTGTTTTTGTTTGGTAAATTTTGTATCAAAATCAAGTTGTGTCAGATAAATTGAGATGAAAGATGTAATAAATTTGATTGCATAGATTAGTGGCATTACCTTGTCATCCTTTTGTGACATACCTACCCATCTCAATCTTTCAACCATAGTCTCAGATTTGAAATCCTCATCAAAATCAGCAATTGGTATGGAATTATTTTGATCATCATCTTCCTTTAATTGGTCCATAAAATTGAAGGAATTACCCAAGTCATGATTGTTATTATGACTATGAGGAAGAAAAGAGAAGTCATCTCCATAATTAATATTATTATAATTTCCATCCCATGAATATTCTTGATTTGTAAGGTCATGTGAAGCTTGGGCTACTGAGAGTATTTCTTGTACAATGTCAGTTTGACTTGTTGTGCTCTGATGATACATAACATCATTTGATTGAGACATCACATATCCTACTTGGGGAAAATCTTGCACTTCCAATGGAGGCAATGCAAATCTATGTTGCAACCTTGCACACTCTAATGCTATATCAACCTTCAAATACAAAAAAAAAATAATAATATGAGAAATAAATAAAGCGATATATAAAAGGGAAAAGGGTCTCAAATATATCTAAACTTTGATTAAAATTGTTGTTACGATACTTAACTTTGGAAAGAACTTTTTACCAGTCTGCACTATTTAATAGTGTATCTCAAAGATATATATATATATATATATATATATATGCCCACGTGGACATAAAAAAATGTATAATTATAAATAGTAATTTTCCACATGGGTACATATATACCTTTAAAATATACTATTAAATAGTTCAAGGGTTAAAAAATACACTATTAAATATTTCAGGAGGGTAATAGGCCCCCTCCCTCAAAAAGTTTCGCATGATAACAACAATTTCGATCAAAATTGAAGTATTTTTCAGACCCTTTTCCCTATACAAAAAGACAGCTCGATGCACTCAACATAGATATATTTCCTACATACCAAACACATGCATGATATATAGAAAGACAGCTCGACGCCCTAAGGATTACCTTAGATGGGTGATTGTATGGAAAATGTCCATTAGTGGCAAATGATGGATTGTTATTGAAAGTGTAATTAGCTTCATCTGACAAGTATTGCATCCATTTATTATCATCATTGGTTGGAGTAGGTGCAGCATGATTCATCAATGGTGAACCATGAAGAAGCCTGGATGATGATGAAGTTGTTGTAGTCATCATTCCATAATCACAATCTTCACCTCTTCCTTCAGTATACAATTGATCATTAATGCTACAACCTGATCGATCACTACCATAATGATCTCCAATTTTTGGAACATTCAAACTCTTCTTGAATACGCGACAAAGTGCATAAGCATCCTGCAAATATATCGCTATCTTTTAGATAACCTGATAATACGAAGTATCTTTTTATAAGTTCAATCCTTATTATTACGTACCTGAAGGCCGTTAGCAACTTCACATTCTCTTTCTTCCAAACGATATTCATGCATAACCCAACCGGTTCGAGTTCCATGAGGTGCTCTTCCTCTATAATATACAAGAGTTTTCTTCATTCCAATTGGCCTCATTTGTGAATTTACTTTCCGGTCCTTGCCGGTAGCCTTCCAGTACCCAGCTTTCGTTGCACGATTAGTCCTTGTACCATTAGGGTATTTACGATCACGAGGACTAAAGAAGTACCATTCCATATCTTTACTAGGCAAGAGGGACTTATCTGTAAAGGGGATCAAAATTAATTATCATAAGAATAGTTCAGAGGTGGAACTCATGATTTCCATAATGCAATGATTATTTATACAACTTTTTTTCCCTTTTAGGGACCAGACAACTAATAGCTTCCTTTAAAGCAATTGGAACATGCATGAAATGATCATACAATTTTAGAAATTTTGTTCTACCTGTAAATTAAAGCATCTTTGAATAATTAAAGTGTGTTTAAAAGTATTTAGAATCACAACATGTTTAGTTTAATTTGCACGAGTTGAAACACTAAGAGAATACAAATACTACGGAAAAAGAGATACTTAATGATAATAGATTTTCGTTTTAGCGTCAAAAACATTTAACAACAAACAATCTGTCATTCCATTCAGAGTCACTAAACATTTTATATAGAATGTAATTCATTACGTTATAGATACTCATCTTTATTACTGTTGCTAAATATAATATTCACGATCAAAGAATCGCTATTAAATCCTTTATTTGTTATAGTGAAAGCTTGTTTTATAAGATTTTGCATTTTTTTTTACCCAATTCATGTATCAAAAGTTTTTAAAATTAGTTAGTTACTTATAATATACCTTTCTTGATAATTACTTTGGAATATATCAAGCTATAGCTAGGTATTATTATTATTATTTTCTTTATTTCACTAAACATCCCAGAGCTAGATTTAGAGATGATAAGAAAGCCATACAATTATTCTATATAAAATAATAAAACAAGAACAATGGAAATCATGCATGTGTATATACCTGGTAAATCCCATGGTTCACATTTGTAAAGATCAACTTCAGGGATGACTTCGAGTTCGATTTTCCTTCCATTAATCTTTCTTTTCAAATAATAAGCAACAAGTTCTTCATCTGTTGGATGAAACCTGAATCCTGGAGGCAATGAAACTGGAGCCATATATCAACTTCTCCTTTGGAAACTTCAATCTCTTTCTGACAGACAAGTTCCAAAGATACACAAGTTTTTGTGGGATTTAATAACAAGACAAAAAGCAAATCAAAGTTGCCTACTTTTGTCTTTTAAATTTCTCACTTTAATAAATCTTTCTTCTCAAGCTCTCTTCTATTTTTTCCTCTCTAAACAACTTGCTCTAATTTGTTATACATACATAGGGGCAACATATATATAGAGTATTTTTGGTAGCAAAAATTCTATGCTTGGAAGTTGTCCTTTCTTGGAATCTGAGCTTTCTTGTACACGTGGTGTTATCTGATTTGTTACATAACCGACCCTATAGCTACAGTAATAATAAAAAAATAATTTGTTTAGTTTAAAAGGAAATTAAGAGGATCTTTGTCCCTCTACAACTACGTTAACGAGAAACTGTCTCAATGGAAACGAATTGGCGGCTTTTCTTAACTGTCAATCTCCCATGAATGTTCCTTTCACATGCCAATTACATATGAAAAGTTTAACTCCAAAATTTCGATAGTTAATCAATTAAATTATTAAAAAAAAAAATTTCTATTATATTTTGTCACCCGTTGCTAGTTTTTTTTTTCCGATTAACTATAGCATTGGATATATATTTCTCACAAAGCATATATATTTTATGATCAAACTCATCTATTTAAAAAGCTCTCTAATTAATGAAAGTTGTGGACATATAAATTTTGACAGAAATATTAAAAATGTTTTATTTATTAACAATCTTAAATATACTCTTTGACTTGACTAATTTAAATTAAATACATCCTTGATCTTGTAACATGAATGAAATACAATCTTAAATTCTCGTCAAGTTTAGGAGCATTTTCAACAAAATTCTCTTGATTTTTTATTAATGGCCTGTTTGGAAGGATACTCTGGTAAGCGAATTTGGTGTAATTGATGTAATTACACTGTCTTATCATGTTTGGGAAGATATGTAATTACTTGGTCGGCGTGTAATTGGCAGGGTGTAATTAGACTCTACAATTAGATTGTGAATTGCCGGTAATTACATGGTGTAATTACCACCCGATTACTTTTTATTTGTTATTTTATTTCTCTTTTTATACTAGTTTTTTTACTTCTATTATGTTAAGTTCTTTTTGTGTTTTTATTATTCTAAAAATTTGTAAAAGTTTATTTTTTATTTTATATTATTATAATTTAGTTTCTTCTCATTCTCAACCTTATTTTATGTGTATCTATGTAATTTTTTCGTATTATCTATTTATTTATGTCATGCTTATTTTTTATCAGCATAATTTTATTAGTATTCTAGTTTTTGAATTAAAATAAAACTTTTAGTTAGGTAAGATTATCGACTTACGTTTTCTTTATTAATAAAAAATAAAAATAAATCATATTTATTGCAATATTGAAATTTGTTATAAGAGTATTATGTTAAAATTTTTGTTTTGAATTTATAACTTATGTTATATATTCTTTTCATTTGTTTTAGTAATACTGAATATATATTGCACGTCATTTTTTAATTAGACTTCATAGATTAAGTTTTTGTGAAACATTAATAATTTATGACTTTTTATTTATATATTATTCTTTTTCTTAAACATGCATTTTACGATTTTCGTAGAAACTTCATACTTTTAGTTATTACAATTGATTCAAGTGAAATATTTTAATTTGAAACAATATAAATCAATTATTTTTTCATAATATTAGTTATAGAAAATATGTTTATTAATTAATATATTTTTTTAAAAAGAATAGATATCTTAAATATTAAATTTAACTTCATTTATAAAGTTTCTTATTCATCTAATATAAAATTTAAATAATAATTTTTTATTTTTAAAATTTATTATAATTTATGATTGCAATTGTACATCCAAAAAGAACATGTATAATCACAATTTGACATCCACACATAATGTGTGTAATTTAAACAATGTAATTATTAGGTTGATAAATATTATCCTAATAATTACTTCAATTTTAATTACTAAGTGATTTTCCAAACAAACCCTAAAAATCCCACGATCCTATAATAATTTAAAACCACTTGATTTATCACGTGATACATTATGAATTATATTTGGGATATAGCTCAATTTAATTAATCATTTATATTCTTAAGACGATCAAAATATTGTTACTAATAATTTATGTCAAAGTTAAACTTGTCTGTTTTAAATTTTTATTTAGTATGTTACGTGATGGGTCCTACTTTTGGAACGTGAAGATCCGAGGTGGCAAAGTGGGGGAGCAAGTATCATTTGGCAGCTTTTGTCGTTGTCATTTGTCCTTTGTCTATTATAGTCCATACCAAAATTCCCTCTCTATTGTCTTTATCATGTGTGCTTTTCCTTTTGATCAATCTATCTTTTGGTGCTTTTCCCCTTTTTGGGGTTTAATCTTCTTTCTTCTCACATAATACCCAATTTTTATATTACTATTATAATATTCGAATCTACTTTCTCTTTATGTTCCTCTTCCCTTCCCACAAGAGATCATGGAGGAGAATCTACCTAAGTGGTCCCCTTCAAGCTACTCTTCAAGATTCACTTGATTGCTAATTATACTTCCTTCTTTTATTCAACTTATATCTGCATTAAAATTTGATTAAATTTAAATTTATATTTTATAGGATCCAATTTTCGAGGGGGAGGGGCACTCCCACTAAGGGCTTTTCACATTTCATGGATTCAAATTTTAGATATCTGATTAAGAATGATAGGATTCCAATCATTACGCAACAATGTGTAACGACTTATTTTTATCGTTCGAAATAAGCCACTGGGAAAAGAATTGGGGCCAAAAAACTTTTGAGTAGTCACTTGAAATTCTTAGCATAGTTCAGATTTGGATGAAATTTGAGTCATGCGAGGTCTAGGAAAATCTGGTAATGAATGAGAGATTCAATAATGATTTTGGTTACATGAGTGGATATCCAAGACATTAGGGAGCCTGTACGGCTTTACGAAATAAAATTCGGGTGAGTAGAAGTCCTGAAACTGATCTTAGCGTGAACAGGTAGTTTTTGAACGTCAAGGGTTGAATGTGTGTTGTGTAATAGGGGATTCAAACTATAATTTCGACCTTCTGTCTCCACGCAAGTCACCAGGGTGGGTCCGCAGTGGCGGGATAGGGTTCGCCGTAGCGGTCTAGTCGCGAGTTAAGTCAGGATTAACCCCAAAAACGTTCTGCAATTTTCGTTCTTGAGAGCTAAGAAACGACCCAGTACGAGCTCTTGACAATTTTCCACTTTCTCTAGGCGCGAAAGGTAAGGTTTTTACTCCTTTAATCATTTTTCGATTCGTAGAACTTAGATTTTTCGGGTGATTATCATTGGGGAGGGTTTTGACCTGAAATTCTAATTGTGGAAAAGGCCCTAAGTTGGTATTGGGATCTTGGGCTTGGCCTAGGGTTGATAATTTTGATTGTAATCAGGGTAATTAGGCCTCGTTTGTTGACCGTGCATTAATTGATTTTATGTTTGTGTGATGTATGTTGGTAATTGCTTCATTGTAATGCATGCATATATGTGAATGAAACACTTTCAATCAAACCTACTGAAATGAGTACGAATGAACAACTCTATTGTCATGATTCAATACTTGATTGTATGATTATGAGTGTGTATATAATGAGTGTGAATGTGGTTGTGGTTATGTTGCTGAGATCGGGTGTCACGTTCGATACATACATTAGATTAGGTGTCACGTTCTGACACTATTGAATCGGGTGTCATATTCTGACACACTAATTGATATCGGGTGTCACGTTCCGACACACTAACATTTTGAAATTAATTCCATGAGAGGATCATTGAATTGTCATATCTACTTGTTATTGAGAATGTGAAATTGTACATTACTCCTGAAATGATGACAAATGTATATATTATATTCTCTACATTTCATGTTTACTATGTTGTGACTGCCTATATATGTTTCACATGCTGGAATAGTCGCGTGATCCTATCAATATACCGTGATTGTGTACAGATACTGCACTTACGTGTTCTTCATTGAATACATGACATCTTCAGACGGCTATTGATAGACCTCAACTAGGAGATTTAGTGATTGAGATTGAATTTCAAAGGTGAACCGATTCTTTTAGGCTACCGTTTAGTCCAGATCCTTCGGAATTCTTCTGATTCGATATTAATCACTCCTAATCCTAGCCTTCAAACCTTACTCTATCATGTAAAAAGAATGAAGTTACACTATGATATTGTACTCTATCGTTATCCATACTCATGTTGGTATCTCATACCAATTATTCATATTTAATTCAAACAAAACTATTTTTTCCCCTTTAAACAACTGAACTTTGTCTCATTGGAAATCTAAAGCAAAAGTTTGATTAAAAAAACGAGTTGTAAGTTGTAACATAGTTTGAACATGAATATAAAGTGACGTGATAATATTCAAGTTAATAATATATTCAAAATAATTAATACTACTTTAATTTCTTAATAATATATTTAAGTAATTAATATTACTTTATTTTCCCTTGCCAACTAGAAAAGATTTGCCTAAAGGATGTCTCCCACATTTCTTCTTTTTTCTAGTCTGAATGCATACAATGGACGTCACAAGAACTTACAACCCCATAGAAGGTAACGAATAAAAAAAAAACTAATTTAAGAATTATGTTTAGATTATTTTAATAAAAAGGCAAAAAAAAAAGCATTCACTTGTTTCCTTCTAATCATCAAAGCATTTTGTGCTTTTCTTTTTTAAGGTATTTGAGTAATATTATAATAATGATTTGCATAAACGAGGCGTATTAGGGATTAAGAAAGATTAATTAATTATTAAATTATCTCCCCATGCATAAAGCTACATAGTGCTTACTTTATCCAACTCATCTTAAAATGGGTAATAATCATTGATAAAGAATATCTTTGACTGATTTAGGGTTTAATTTTGACGTATAATCAAGTTGATAAAGTAGATTTTTATTTTTTTATGATAATGGATAGGGTCTCTTCTTTTACACGCAGTCATTCTTCTGGTTTTTATATATATATATATATATATATATATATATATATATATATACTAGATTTTGCATTGGAATGTGAAAAGGGGATCAATGTATGCTAGTTTCCATGAAATTATAGTTGAGGAGAGGTGAAAAAATTAGCCCAAATCCATATAATTTGCTTAACTCGACC